CTTACAACATGTTTACAGGGTAGATATCATTAGTCCCTTTTACAAATAATGACATGGGTCATCAGAGAAGATATGTTGTTTTGTGTAATCCCAAGATGAGACAACTATTAAGTAGTCGAGGTAGGAATTGAGCCCCAGCTCTTTGAATCTAAAGCTCACAGACTTGGTTCTATGGCAGAACCAAGTTGATCCTAATATATCAGAACCTGATTCCTAGATTTCTCTATAATTTTTGACCCTCTGGATGAGCAAAGTATGCCCTTTATAGTCCTCAGAGATTTAGACCCATGAGCTTCACATTGCCTATTTCCTTTTGCACTTATTTATGTTTCTGGTTTGCCCAAATCATGTTTGCTTGTAGTTGACGACAACTGTTAATCTTAAGCAATGATCAACATCTTCTAAGGAATTTCTGACAAACAACTAAGTGGCTTTGTGATGACAGCCACTATTGCTATCTGAAATTAAAGTTGTTTTTCTTACCATGTAAAATACTTAGCACCGGTTTCCAATAAGAACTGAATATATAGCAGCTAGATAGGTATTTTTTTTCAATCCATCCTATCTCTTATCCATCCATCTAGGACAAATTTCTGCTGAACCCAGTTTTCATGTGATCTCTCCTTCTCAAACTATTCCAAAAAATAGAGGAAGATGGAACACTTCCCAACACATTCTACGAGGCCAACATCACCCTGATACCAAAGCCAGGCAAAGACAATACTAAGAAGGAAAACTACAGACCAATATCCCTGATGAACATAGATGCAAAATCCTCAACTAAATATTGGCAAACCGAATATAACAATACATTAAAAAGATCATACACCGTGATCAAGTGGGATTTATACCAGGGACACAGGGATGGTTCAACATCCTCAAATCAATCAATGTGATACACCACATTAACAAAACGAGAAATAAAAACCATATGATCATCTCAATAGATGCAGAGAAGGCATTTGAGAAGATCTAACATCCATTTATGATGAAAACTCTCAACAAAATGGGTATAGAAGGAAAGCACCTTAACATAATAAAGGCCATATATGACAAACCCACAGCCAATATCATACTCAATGGGGAAAAACTGAAAGCCATCCCTCTGAAAACAGGAACAAGACATGGGTGCCCACTCTCACCACTCTTATTCAACGCAATACTGGAGGTTCTGGCCAGAGCCATTAGGCAAGTAAAAGGAATACAAGCAATCCAAATAGGCAACAAAGAAGTGAAACTCTCACTGTTTGCAGATGACATAACCTTATATATAGAAAACACTAAAGAATCCATTGGAAAACTATTAGAAATAATCAGCAACTACAGTCAAGTGGCAGGGTACAAAATCAACTTACAGAAATCAGTTGCATTTCTATATACCAACAACGAACTAACAGAAAGAGAATCTAAGAAGACAATCCCATTTACAATTGCAACAAAAAGAATAAAATATCTAGGAGTAAATTTAACCAAGGAAGTGAAAGACCTATACAATGAAAACTATAAGACATTATTGAGTGAAATTAATGATGACATAAAGAAATGGAAAAATATTCCATGCACCTGGATTGGAAGAATAAACATAGTTAAAATGTCCATACTACCTAAAGCAATCTGCAGATTCAATGCAATCCCAATCAGAAACCCAAGGACATTCCTCACATAAATATAACAAATAATACTAACATTCATATGGCGCAACAAAAGACCCCACATAGCTAAAGCAATCCTGAAAAAGGAGAACAAGGCAGGAGGCTTCACAATCCCTGACTTCAAAACATACTACAAAGCGATAGTAATTAAAACAGCATGGTACTGGTACAAAAACAGACACACACATCAATGGAACAGAATTGAAAGTCTAGAAATAAAACCTCATATCTACGGGCAGGTAATCTTTGACAAAGGTGCTAAGGACATAGAGTGGAGAAAGGAAAGTCTCTTCAATAAATGGTGCTGGGAAAACTGGACAGCCACTTGCAAAAGAATGGAGGTAGACCATCTTCTTTTGCCATACACAAAAATTAACTCAAAATGGATCAAGGACCTGAAGGTGAGACCTGAAACTATAAAACTCCTGGAGGAAAATATAGGTAGTAAACTACTTGTCATCAACCATAAAGGGATCTTTTTGAATTCCATGTCTACTCAGATAAGGGAAACAAAAGAAAAAATAAACAAGTGGGACTTCATCAGATTAAAGGCTTCTACAAGGCAGATGAAACCAGGATCAAAATGAATAGGGAACCCACCAGCTAGGAAAAAGTGTTTGCAAACCATATATCTGACAAGGGGTTAATCTCCATAATATATAAAGAACTCACACAACTGAATAACAAAAAAACAAACAACCTGATCAAAAAATGGGAAGAGGAAATGAACAGACACTTCTCCAAAGAAGATATACAGATGGCCAATAGGCACATGAAAAGATGCTAAACATCATTAATCATCAGGGAAATGCAAATCAAAACCACACTAAGATATCATCTTACACCCGTTAGAATGGCTATAATCACCAAGACAAAAACCAACAAATGCTGGAGAGGCTGTGGAGAAATGGGAACCCTAATCCACTGTTGGTGGGAATGCAAACTGGTGCAGCCTCTATGGAAAACAGTATGGAGATTCCTCAAAAAATTAAAAATAGAACTACCTTATGATCCAGCTCTCCCACTACTGGGTATCTACCCAACGAACCTGAAATCAACAATCCAAAGAGGCTTATGCACCCCTGTGTTCATGGCAGCATTATTCACTATAGCCAAGACATGGAAGCAACCCAAGTGTCCCTCGACTGATGATTGGATAAAGAAGATGTGGTATATATATACTGTGGAATACTACTCAGCCACAAAAAAGACAAAAATCATCCCATTTGCAACAACATGGAAGGACTTGAGACTTGGAAGGTATTATGTTAAGTGAAATAACCCAGAAAGAGAAAGACAAACAGTGCACGATTTCACTTGTATGTGGAAGATAAACCAACACACGGGCAGATAGAACTGTTTGGTGGTTACCAGGGGCTATGGGAGTGGGGGTAGGCAAAAGGGGTGGAGGGATGCACTTATATGGTGACTGATAAACAATAATGTACAACAAAAATTTCACAATAAAAAAAAGGAAAAAAAAAAAAGATGACACCAACCAAAAAAAATAAATAAAGGAAGCTGGGAAATGTCTTTATTCTGAACGACCATAGACTTGGCTAAGCTTGGACTAAACTTGAGAATGGATATTGCAAAATACTTAGTAACATTAAGTCACAAGGACAGATTTTTGAGTGGAGACACCTAATCTAAAGTAGCTTCTATTCATTCTCTATTATACTACTTGTTCCATTTTCTTTAAGCACTTTCACTACCAGATATTTTCTGTATATTTATTTTCTTGTTTATTTGCTTATTTGTTTATTGACTATTTTGTTCCCTTGCAATGTCAGATCCAGGTGGGTAAGGATTTTTGTGTCCTGTTATTGCCATAATGCCAACGTCTAGAACACTGCTTTGCGTATAGTAGAATCCCAATAAATATGTGTTGACTAAAAGAATGAATTACATGTTTCTCTTTCAAAAGTTTGATCATTGGGTTCATTAAATAGTTTATATGAAAAGTGTAAAATTATTTATTGTGTTTAAACAAAATATGAATAAACATATAAATAAAATGCACTCATATTTTTAATAGCTATAAAGATCTGTTTAATTGTGTGTATTGTGCCAGGTTCAGAGACTTTTCATATAATTTTCTTTCCAGTAACCAGCATCATAGGTATGTTCCCTGATTCAGTTCCTTCCAACCCAGCCGCCATGTCTAGCCTGTGGCAGACTTCTGGTTCTAGCATCCTTAGTCCAGCTGGAGCAGACGATGAACTCTGCCCACTCTTTCAGCTTCTGCCTGTTGTTGCCCAGATACTTTAGGCAACAAAAACGTTACAGCCAGGAGAAACAATTAACAGACAATTTCTACCAAGAAAAAATTATCATTCCTTCTCTCAGTAAGTTTGGTATATGTAAAGAACATGGTTCTAGGGCCAAATACTGATAAAAAAGAATTTGTGCTTTCATTGTGCTTTATTATTTATGTATATATGTGTGTGCATATATATTTATATGCACATCCATTAAGATCCATTGGATCTTTAAAAATAACCCACGGAGTTAGGTATGTCATTATCCACATTTTATAGATAAGAGAACAAACTCAGAGTGGGTAAATGTGCCAGAACGAATACATCGCAAAGACCAAAATCAAGCTGAGTTTTCCATACATATTATATATTCTTTACCCTATACGATTCTCAGCAGCAATTTAACTTTTTCTTTAAGCCTCAGATTTAATAGGTTATTTTGAAATAAAGAAAACATAGGAAACTCGATCACTTCCAGTGTCCTTTAGCCAGGAAAATGAGCACAGATATTCTCAGTTACTTACATTGTTACCCCTCAAAACTTGGTTTTATGATCCTGTTGAAAACCCGGTAAGTGAGCCAAGACGGAAAGATTTGGTCTATTGCCCTGACTCCTCATCTTCCCCCCACGCTGTAGGGAGGATAAAATCTTGGCACAAAAAACTCAAATTAGAGATGAGGAGTCAATGATATAATGCCCATAAAGTTCAGGGCCTACCACACAGTATTATTCACGGGGCGTAACACTCAGTAAGCCCTTGGTAATTAAGTTTATTACAGAAATGTGTAGTTCTTGATGTCATTGTCGATGTTACTGTTACAGCATTTTCACTTGAAAAAAAATCCTTTCCCGTTGCCTATCCTCTGATTAGTGCTTAGCCAAGACCAGGCAAAGGGAAAAAGCAAAAGTTCCAGGGTGGAAGAATTTCCCTTCGATCCAGAGAAAGGCAAACGCTAGAATATTTGTTTAAGAATTTCCCGTCGATCCCTTAGTCTTGTAATCGCTACTTTATAAACGGTCCCTAGAAGGGGGTGGGTCGTCCTGGAAATTTTGCAGCTGTTTTCTCTTTTCAGGGACTCGGAGCGCTGGGACTTACAGCAGAAGGTAGGGGGTCAGGCTGCCGGGGCCGGGGCTGGATTCCACCTCTTACCCTTGACGACTAAGACCCGCTTTTTCTTCCTTCCTTTCTCTGTCTCCGGATCTGTTGGGGCTTCTTTAAACTGCAAGCCCAAGGGGTGGGGAATTCAGTCTTGGAGTGCGATACCGGGGGCTTTCTGCAGGTTTGGCAGTTTAGGGGAAACTTTGTGGAGGCTGGAAGGGAGATTTAGCCATCTCCTAACAATCTCAAGGTTCATCTTCGTACTTTCCTTTACTTTTGCTTTCATTTTCTTTCTTTCTTTCATGTGGACAATTGATGTTTTCTCGATTTTATGTAATTTTATGTTGTGGAAATGGAGCTTCAAGCCCCCTTCCGCCAACCTGGTCGGATTGCAGCCCCTCAGCTCTTCTTTATAGAAATGCAAGGGACTGACTCTGATCCCATCTGTTAACACTTGGACCCTGAAAATCTAGGACTGAAAATTAAAAGATTAAATCACTCTCGGTTTCTATCCAAACCCCACTCCGCACCCAAATCGCCTGCTTGTTTGGACCCCGGGTTCTCCACTTCTCCCACGCAACAGGCTGCAGGGGTGTGGCCCACTGGGCCACCCTGCTCCTCCCTCTTCCGGTGTCGCTGAGCGATTCGGTCCCTGCCCTCCTGGATCCCTGAGGGTCCACCTGATGCGCAGCCCTTCTGGCTCTGTGAGCTGCCCTCTGTTCTCCCAGCTGCCTCAGATTCAAGGCTTTGACCTGTTCAGCTGCTGTGACCAGTCTTTGCCTACCTGTTGCTAGGTGCATTTCTGAAATGCATCCTGAGGGACAGAGAACTAATTCTGACCCAGCATAGTTTGTCTTGGGAGTGGTGGGAGAGAGGGTGCAGAATAGCAAATTTTCCTCAGTGAGAGGTTTCTTCTGGGGTTAGAATCAGGAAAGAAGGCTGTTTCCTTGTGGGAGACACCCCTCTGCTTCTGTCTCCTTCACCTGAAAGCCACCCTTGGTGAGTACTGCTGAGCCTTAGAGCTTTGGTAGGCTGACACAGTTTCTTCACCTGTTGTACTCCTGTGTCCTGTGTCCTTTTCCTGCTTTAAGCTCCCTGCTGGTGTTCTTAGAAATTCCTCCCTCCCCCAGCACCAGCCTGTTCTACCAGACAACTTACCAGTCAAGTGTCTGCATGGAAACTCTTTTCCTGAGCATCCTCTCCTCTCCCTACAGCTGCTACTGCCCTCAGTGTTTCTATCAAATGTGAGCCATTTTGCCACACTCAGTTTTTATTCAAATCCTCAAAATAAAAATAGACACGGAACGAAAAGCGTGATTTATTGGCGATGATTTGTGGGGATGGAGCATGGTGTATAAGAAACATGATTTCCATCAAATGAGTGAGCAACATGGACATTGCTTTGGATTGGGGTGGGGTGTGATGTTCTAAATGGTGTTTGGGATGAGCACAGAGGGCCAGAAACTAGAAATAGTCTTGCCAAAAGCTTCAGAATCCTTGATGAGGGCATGTTCTGGGAAGGAAAGTTGCCTATCTCAAGAGCCCACATGTTTTTCTCGCCTGTAGGATGCTGAGTGCAGGTTGTGATTCCCAGTGACTCATCGGCTCCTGGGACTCTGGATAAGGAAATCAGTTTCACTTTTCTTCAACATTCTTTATGCACCAGGCAATTCCTTTTTAGCTCCTTAAGGTGTAAGTTCAATGAGAATCCCCCTCATTGGTGCTGGAGGTTGCAGCTCAGGTCAGCCTTTGACAGAACAGGGAGAGGCAAGCTCACAAATGATTCAGTTCAGAATGGTCAGAGAGGAGCTTCTAGTGGTATTAGGGACAGTGGCTAAGACCAGACCCACCTGCTGATTCTCCGGATAAAAGAATCATAATGTAAATCATAATCTAAGTACATAAAGTGTTTGTTACCATATCATGTGAAATGGTTGTCTAAGATTATAATAAAATTTGGAAGATATGTTTAGGATGGCCTGAATTAAAATAGAGGACATGTTGTATATGTGATATTTATATTTGTTGGAATATTTTGGACAGAGGAAACAGACAATGGTTGCAATTATGAGCCCCGAAAGAAAAGTCACAAGATAAGTGATCTAAGTTGCAGGGGTCCATTTTGAATCAGGTAGCTTGTTGTGTGCAGGTCTCTGAACAGCATGATCCAAAGCAACAGCCGAGGTCTATTTAACAACAGTAACAACAATAACAGGAACAATACTTAGGTCTATCATCATTGATTAAACGCTTCCTATAGGCCAGGCACCCTTCTAGGGACTTCACATATATTAATTCATATGTGCATATAGGACATACAGGTAGTATAGTTTTCATTTTAGAAAGAGAATACTGAGGTTCAGAGGGGTTAATTACACTTTATCAATATACGTAAGGAGTAGTATATTAAGTACACTTTTTTCAAAGTGGAGCTAGTGTTTGAACCAGCCTCAGGATGTGTCAGAGAGTTCCTGTTTAATGGGTACTTAGTGAGTCTTACAGCTTCCCCACTTGGGTCTGGTATTTAAAAGGATTCTTATTATTGGCATCTTTATCTCCTTCAGCTTCTTTCTCCTTCCCAGCTTCATCATTAACCCTCTGAATATATTCTTATGCCAGAGAAAAGCACATAAGGTACTAGTATTTGAATAGATAATCCCTAACATGTCACCTGTTCACGATGTGTCTTTCCCCCAGTAATCCTACATCACCATGGTGCGTCCTTGTGGCCTCCTAACCCACCAAGAGGAGCCAGGTAAGCCTGATTGGTGAGTCTTACTTGCCGTTGTATCTTTGGCACCTAACACAGTGCCTGGCCTGCAGGAGGCATGCTGTTAAAATTTGTTGATCCCTTGAACTCTGGTCTATCTCCAGTGCCACTGAAGAGCATCTCTGTGACCTTGTCAATTTGTGAGTTTGTGGCTGGTGTGTCTGCTACCTTAAACTATGAGAATGAGGAGAAAGTTCCTTTGGAGGCCTTCTTTGTGTTCCCCATGGATGAAGACTCAGCTGTCTACAGCTTCGAGGCTGTGGTGGATGGGAAGAAAATTATGGCAGAATTACAGGACAAGATGAAGGTACTTTATCTCTTCCCTTCTTATTTCCTTAAAGCGTACTCTTTAGGATCCCTAGCAAATGCAGCTTCACAAAAGTGCTGATGTTTGAATGCTCTTCCTCCACACTCCTCTAACCACTATTTTTCTAAAATCATTTGGAGGGAAAAATCAATCAGAGGCATTCAAAGTATAGCTGTGAATTGGGGAAGACCAACACGGTCCCTCCCTACCAGTCTTGTTTTCTGTACCACTCATTTCTTCATCAACCATGTTACCTTTGAGACCACCTTTGTTTCCCTTTTCTCCTTAGGCCCACACCAACTATGAGAATGCCATCAGCCAGGGCCACCAGGCCTTCCTATTGGAGGAGGACATGAGCTCCAGGGATGTCTTCTGTTGCAATGTGGGGAACCTTCACCCTGGATCAAAGGTGGCACTCACCCTGAAGTATGTGCAGGAGCTGCCCCTGGAAGCAGATGGGGCCCTGCGCTATGTGCTCCCAGCTATCCTGAACCCTCGATACTGTCTCTCTGGTGAGTATCCTCTCCCTTAGAATACTAGTGTTGGGTAACATAATTGGGGAAACCTCCTCAAGGTTGTATGGGTGCTAAAAAGTGTAGAAAGGGAAAACAGAACTAAGGTAACTTTTTGTAGGATGGCCTGAGGACAGTTGCCTTAATATGAAGACTCCTGTAGTCCCTTTGGAGGACCTGCCCTACACACTCAGCCTGGTTGCCACCATCAGTTCCCAGCATCGCATCGAGAGGATCCAATCCGACTGCCCCTTGAGTCCTATTGAGTACCAGGGAGATGATAAGACTTCTGCTCAGGTAATGAGTAAGAGAGCACTGTTGTTGCCAGCACCCCTGTTCTTTGTCCTGACCTTGTTCCTCATTCAGTCTTTCCTAAATGTTCCTAACTTTTCCGTGTTAATCCAGAGGGAATCATACTATGTTCCTTCTTTATCTCTGTTGAATCTCCAGAGCCTTCTCTCCATTCTTGCTGCTGCCCCTGACCATGCTCACTCGTAGAAGATGCCTATAGCCCTCAGCTCTGGCCCCAGCCCCAGGCAGCAAGTGTGATAATTCTAACATGGCTCCTTTGCCTGTTCCCCACTCAGGTTTCCCTGGCTGATGGACACAAATTTGATCGAGATGTGGAGCTCCTGATTTACTACAGTGAGGTGCATACCCCCAGTGTGGCTGTGGAGATGGGGACGCCTGAAACGAAGCCAGGTATTTTCTTTCTCCCTCTATTGATACCTCCTAAAGGGTAACTCTTGTCTTGGAATTACTCTCAAATTACCCTCACTTTTCTATTTTTTTATCCAGTCGTGGGTAAAACATTGAAATAGCTTCACTATGGCATGCAAAAATGGTTAGGTTCAATGAATATCATGTAGTTATGTCTTGTAGGCAAGTTTAAGTAGATCAGTAGATAATTGGACACAGGACATGAACAAATAATTTGCAAGAGGAAACACAGCTAGCTTACAAACATATGTGACAATGATCAGTCTTAAGTGCAAATCAAAATAAAAAACAATAATGATGTGACATTTTCACTTTTCAAATTATCGAAGGTTTCCAAATTTGATAATGCCTCATGCTTCAAAAGGAGTGGTGAATTTGGCACTCTCATTGATTGCTTGAGGCAAAATAACTTGGTATCAAACTTTTCAGAAGAAATTTGGACATAGGTGTCAGTCAAAATAAATGTTCATTTTGGCAATTCCAATTTTGAGAATCTTATCTAAGGAAATGAATGTAAATATAAGTAAAAATATGCACTGAAATGTCCTCTGCCATTTTAATAATAAAGATTAGTAAACAATCAAAATGTCTTACAATAGCTAAATTCACTATGCTTGGTATACTTGATTAATTAATATGCAGCTGCTAAAATAATGTACATTGACAGGTTGAAATAATATGGAAAAAGTCTTCCAAAGAATGTTAAGTAGTAGTTAAAATGAAAAGAAAAGTAAGTTATACCCAGACAGATGCCCAGAAAAAAATAACTTATGCACTGGGAAAAACATTTAAAAACACAGGAAATATGCAAGTAGTTGTTGTGATTAGATTAACACTAGGTTTACCATCTTAATTTCTTTTTTTCTATCTAATAAATATCTTTTATTGATTGATTCATCACACCTGCATATAATCTCATCTGGAGTTCTTTTTTTTTTAAATTATAGCTAGTTAAATCATAACTTTTAAATCGTAACTAAAAATAATTAGAAAATCTCATAACTGTTTTTAAGTATACAGTTCTGTTGCCTTAAGTACATTCACCTTGTGTGACCATCACCGCCATCCATCTCCAGAGCTTTGTCATCCTGCCCTAGTTTCTTAATTTTTAAGACTTAGCTTAGTTTCTTAGGTTTAGCTCATTAATTTATTTAATTTATCCTATTTTCTAAATTTTCCTTAATATATGTGTACTTTTCCTTGTCATTGTAGCTGGTATAACTCATGTCAGTCTTGCTCTCTTGGGGCCTTCCTGGGCGGCCGTGCCCCTGAATTGCTGGGACCATGAAGCATAACTGGAGAGACACTGCCACTTCTGAAGCATTTTCCACATTAGTGGCATGGGAGCATCCTTGGGCACAGTCATAGTCAAAATGCTATGGCCTGGGTTAGGCTCTTACTTCTATAACTACAACTGCTGTGAAGACAATTACCTGTAGTTGGTCTTTAATAGGCCATCCTTCTCTCTCTTTGGTAATGTTTGGCAAAGGTAGCTTCATACTCAAGCTCACAAATTTGAACTCCTTGGTTTGCCCTCACTTGTTCAACCATTTTTTCTCAGGGCAAGCTGTCCATGCTAAAGTCATTAGAGGGGCTCCCAGCCTCAACCAGATTTGCTCCAGCCCCTCTTCTTTGAAGCCACATGCCCTATCTTTGTACGTTAGTTACCTGGTTTTGTCCTTCCTTCCTGTAAGTTCCCCCATGAAATACTCCCACAACAGTGACCTGGTGTTCAGTCAGGATTATTTTAATCCACCAGAGAAAGTTTTATAATGTTGGATCTTAAAAGATAAGGATTGAGATCTCGGTCCCTTTCTTTCCAAGAAGTTGCCTTGGGTCCTGTGCAGATTTCCTCATATGTTCCCTGTGACCAGCTCTGCAGGCCATAGGGGGACATCAGGGGCAGCCTTTATGAATCTTGTGAATTCCTTCCAGAAGGGCCACTCAAATCTTCCTTTCCAGATCGTATGTTTGGTCAAGATGACTTGCTATTCCCATCCATACAAAGAAACAAATGACAAATGGCAACTTGGCTCACTAAAACCGTTTAGAGTTCTGCCAAACGAAGCATACCACTACATGATGAAAATACAAAATATGTTTTTTAAAAACCTAGAGTATACTGACCATATTAAGAACATGATGCTTTTTTAAAAAAATATATTTGTAACTTAATAAAAATAATTTCATAATAGCAAAATTTATGAGAAATTTCATAAAATTATTATTACAAGTGTAATCTGAGTTGAACCCTAGACTGAGTTCCTTAAATGTATTATATCACTTAACCCTTAAGATAATCCTGAGGTAAGCATACTACCTTGATTCTTCAGATGAGGAAACTGAGACTAGGAAGCAGAAGAACTTGCTAGGGTTTGAAATGCCTCCTTTAGAAATGAGGAAGCTGAGACTCATGGAAGTGAAAGTAATTTGAGCCAAGGCATAAGAATTATAGTAGATAATACACATATAGTGGTTAGTATGTGTCTGACAGTGTTCTAAACAGTTTAGATGTATTAACTCATTTCCTTCTCATGGCAGCCTTTCTGCCTTCTCAGTACAGTGCCAGTCCCACTATCACCAGCTGTCTCTCAGAATGGAAAGGAATCCACTTTGTCCATTAAGATAGCTACTCTTCTTCCCCCAGGTATCCAGAGATCTGGATTGTGTAGAAGTTATTTTTGAACTAATGTTCTATCAAACATTTGCTGAGCCACACCCATTTTATTTGGAAGCCAGTTTGGTTTTTGGGGTGTCCCATGGGTAAAAGATTAAACTGAGGCAGGTCCTGTAATCACTCTGAATCCCAGGGCTAAAGAGAAGTTAAACCTATAATCCTGGAATCACTTTATAAAAATAGGATATTAGAATTTAATTCTATGTCCTCTTATATTCTCTGAATTGTAAAACTAGGGTTCATATAACCCAGCCATTCTCGTTTCATCTCTGTGTCAATACTAACATTTCAATTCCTGCATCAGATTTCTCTTGCTCCTCAAAATAAAATCACAGCTATGGCTTTGACATCTTGGTGACATGGGCCAGGCTCCCATGGTCTCCTCCATACTATCGTTTGGATGATGCTATTCGAGTCTGACACACATCCCAGTGCTTCTCTTTCTTTGTTCTGGAGAGCATCAGTAAGTGCTTCATACCTAAAGCAGATGGACTTTCCTTGGTGTGTATGACACTTACTACACTCTCATCTCATGTAAATTGTTGACATAAGAATTGTCCACATGAGCGTCATTTTTTGAAGGCTGTAATTAAAGACTCAAGGACCCATGTGATAAATTCCCCATTGATTTGTTTTGAAGAGAAAGTATCTCTCTGCAAATAAAATAGCTTCGCTCTTCTGGCAAATTCTGGAACATTTTAACTTAATGTATTTCACTCATTTGCCTAGCTGCTAGGAAACTAGCATTCAATTATGATTTTTTTTTTTTTTTTGGTGAGGAAGATTAGCCCTGAGCTAACATCTGTTGCCAATCCTCCTCTTTTTGCTGAAGAAAGTTGGCCCTGAGCTAACATCCGTGCCCATCGTCCTGTACTTTATATGTGGGACGCCTGCCACCGCATGGCTTCATAAACAGTGCATAGGTCTGCGCCTGGGATTTGAACATGCAAACCATGGGCCGCTAAAGTGGAGCACGCGAACTTAACCACTACGCCACCACGCCGGCCCCCAATTATGATATTTTACTTATTGCTTGTGCCTGGTAACCTCTACCTTCTTTCTTCTCTTTTATATGTGTTCCTCTTCTATATCTTTTATATGTTTATAACTCACTTCGAACTCTTTGCCAGCAGATAGGAGTATAAAGATCAAACTCTATATTAGATTTGGGTTTTCTCAGCTCCCTATGTAACTCACTACAATTGATTCTTGAGATCTTTAGGATTCTTGAGTTCCTTTTTTGTCTTACAGTGTCCTTATCCTTTCTGAGTAGATTGTTTGATGGGAGATCCATCTGCGATGGTGAGTTTCTACCCAAATATCCCAGAAGCTCAGCCACCAACTACCTGTGGAGAATTTGTCTTCCTCATGGACCGCTCAGGAAGTATGCAGGGCCCCATGAGTAAACAGGATAAATCTCAGCTGCGCATAGAGGCAGCCAAGGTAAAACTAGTTTCTTTCTTTTTCTGGTCACTTGCTCAAGTGGGGATGAATTTCAGGAGTTAAATCAGGTCCGTCTGTTCCCACCTGAGCTACAGCTAACATGACCACCTGAGTTTAGCTTTGGGACATAAGGGCCTGGAGGCATGAAGGAGATGAAGGCCCAAACCTTCAAGAATGAGACAGGCAGGGTCTGTGTGTCTGAGAGGATCCCTCTCACTCTGTCTCCTCATACTCTCTTCTTTCAGGAGACACTGATTTTACTGCTGAAGAGTTTGCCTATAGGCTGTTATTTCAACGTCTATGGATTTGGATCTTCCTATGAGGCATTCTTTCCGTAAGTTACTAGAAAGGCCATAGAGAATCCACAAAGATACTTTAAAGAAAGGACTAGCTTGTTAAGGGGGTTACTGCAGAATTGACTTTGGCATTGGTGGTTTCAGGTAAGGTTGTTTGCCATGGGTGTATCACAATTCAGGAACTCAATACTGGGCCATGTCCGGTAGCTATCATGTCACTGGCTGTGTTTGTTTTTCTCAGGAACAGTGTGAATTACAGTCAGCATACCATGGAGGAAGCACTGAGGAGAGTTAAGCTTATGCAGGCTGACCTAGGGGGCACAGAAATCTTGACACCACTCCAGGCCATTTACAGGGGAACTTCAATCCCAGGCCACCCCCTGCAGGTAAGAGTTGAACAGAGCTAATGGAAAGAGACAGAGAATGAAATCTCTGTTCAAGAATCCATAGCTCAGAGACTCATTGCAGGATCGTTGAAATATGGTATGTAATTGAGAATCTTCAATCATGTAGTAAAAAGAAAAAGATAAGAAGCCTTTCATAGAATTCTTCTTCCTTAGCTCCATGCTGTACACGGTGGAAGTTCTTTTTCTAGAGTGCTTCAAAAGCTTTAGATGAAGCTAGTAATAGGAGGTGCTGAAAATTCCCAGTGTTCTGAACAGACCATGCGGTGCAGGTGACAGTGGAACATTAGGGGTCTCATGCCTGTCTGAAGATGCATCAGAGTCTCCGGAAAGAAATAATAGGGGTTTTTAAGGGCAAATTCTGGTATCTTAAAAAACGAACTTCACAGAGATTTGAAGAATGTCTTCTTTGTTTCTGCAGCTTTTTGTCTTTACAGATGGGGAAGTTACCGACACATTTAGTGTAATTAAAGAAGTTAGGAGCAACAGTCTGAAGCACAGGTATGACGAGCATGTCATTTCTGGGTGACTTGACCAAGTAGTGCCACCTGTAATCTAGTGCCACATGATACCAGTGTTGACATTCCATTTAGAGGACAGAACGATTCAAGACCTTTAGCTTTACCAGCTGACAATTTTTTTTCTATATCATTTTTTCCCTCTCTACTAAAAGATAAAAGTAATTTTTTAAATAACATCAACAACACAACAAAATCATTGTTGCTTATTCTCTCTAAATCATAGTGAAAACAAGAATCTAATAAGATTTTTTTTTACTATAAACATTTTTATTAAAATAAAACATACAGAAAACTACACAAATCATAAGTATGCAGCTGGATGGATTATCAGAGTGAACACGTGTAATTCCCACATAGGTCAAGAACTAGAATGTTACCGTTACCTCTCCATCTATACTCTTTTCTATCACATCCCATTTTTAATCACTACCACATTTTCCTCTCTGACGGAAATAGCTTTCCTTACTTATAACACCATGGATTATTTTTGCTTGTTTTTGAATGAAAATGAATGAGTTATCCAGTGTAACTGTTTCTGTGTATCTTCCTTCTTTCCCTCAGTGGGATGTTGAGATTCGTGTCTACACTGCATGGAGCATAGTTAATTTTCATGACACTGATGTTGAAAGAACACTTGCTAATTATTTTTGTCGAATCTCCCTTTATGTTTGTTTGTTTAAATTCAGTAATATTAAATATTTTTGAAAGAAATATTCTAAAAGTAATGTTGGGCCTCGTGATAAGTTTGACCACTTAATTAAAGGTTGTATCTGATGATAACTTTCAGATTTTGTAAACGTCTTGTTCTCAGCAAATGTTTACTCAGTTGTTTTAACATTCACTCTTGCTTATTGCCCAAATAAAATGGTGATTTTAAAATTCTGTCATCTTTTGCATATTTATTACTTAACATCCTACTGTAAAGAAGAGCTTTCTCTTTCTCCTTCCTTCCTTTTGTTATATAAATGTGTACATTTTTATTCCTTCATTATTTTTCAATTTTTTAAGATATATTACCCTGATTATTCATTTAGAGCCTCAAAATTTCCAGATTTGGCCAGTGGGAGCCCCTTCTAACTTGCTCCTGTGTCTTTTTCATATGTCTCTTTGGTTTATGAAGACCTCCTTTCTTTCTTAGAAAAAAGTATTTCTGATTCACCTATATTTTCCCATCCCTGTACCTTGATCCTTTTAGTGAAAAAAATAAATAGAAGTCAATATTTGAGTGTTAGGTGTAACTCTGCTACTGGGATCTTATTGATTCTAGGCATTTTCAGCAGACAGAACTAGCAAATATTTTTAAAAAACACAAATTTGTACTAATACCCCTACTTCCAAGGTAACAATATAAGATTCTTTCTCTTTTTTCCTCCTATTCCATATTTTTGTCTTCTTTCCTCCATGGTGAGAAACCTGGTTTCCCACAAAATCAGTAAATTGACTCGTTTTCTTAATCTTACAATACACACAAAATCTGTCTGTAATGTTTTATAATTCTCTGTGTCTTCATGCATTTTTCATTAGATTTTTTTCCTGGGTGTTTGATGCTATTTTAAATAGTATTTTTTTTTTTTTGCTGATGATGATTTGCCCTCAGCTAACATCTGTGCCAGTCTTCCTCTATTTTGTATGTGGGTCACTGCCACAGCATGGCCACCTACGAGTGGTGTAGGTCCGTGCCCCGAAACCAAACCCGGGCCGCTGAAGTGGAGTGTGCTGATCTTAACCACTATGCCATGGGGCTAGCCCCTTAAATAGTATTTTTTAAACATTTTATTTACTAGATGTTTGTTTCTGTGTAGAAATTGATTACAATTTACAATAGCTTTTAAATTTACAGTGACCTGTATTCAATAACTGTGCCTAATTTAGATATTAATTCTAATAGGATATTTGTATATTCTTTTAGATGTTCTGTGGATAGTCATGTTTGCAATAATGTTAGCTTTATTTTTTTCCTTTCCGATCCTTATATCTTTGTTTTTCTTCCTTTCTGTGTGGCCCTGGAAAGGACCTCTAGCACAAACCTGAGTAGAAGTGGTCAGAGCTGGCGTCCTTGTCTTACTTTGGGCTTCAGGCAACATGTTCAACGTTGCATCAATAAGTGTGATTGTTTTCTTTAGTTTTTTTTGCAAGTGAGGAAATTTCCGTTTATTTCTGTTTTGAAAATTCTTTTCTCTATTTTTTTTAAAATAATGATTGTTGAATTTCATCAAATGCATTTTTTGTATCTATTGAGATAAGTGTATGATTTTATCATTTATTGTTTTAATGTGTGAATTATAGTGACTATTGTTAAATATTAGACCAACCTTGCATTTCTGAAATAAACCCAAATTAGTTGTGACCTATTAGCCTTTTTCATATGTTTTTGGATTCAATTGGCTAATAATTGTTTAGGATTTTTGAATCTATTTTCTTGAGAAATATTGACATATATTTTCTTTTCTTATAATATTCTTGCCGGGTTTTGATATCAGTGTTATGCTGACATCATAAAATAAACTCAGAAGAATTGCCTGTTTTTCTATTATCTGAAAGATTTTCTGTCTTAACTGTTTGCTAGAAGTTGCCAGGAAACATTTTTTGTGGGAAGGTTTTTAACTCTCTTTAATTGAAATAAACTATTCGTATTTTTATGTTCTTGCTTTTTGTGGAAGTTTGTATATTTTATCTAAATTTTCAGATCTCCTGGAATAAAATTGTTTGTAGTATTGCCTTATGATGTTATTAAATTTTGTAGAATCTGTGGTAGTATTACCTTTTCAATCCTGATGTTGCTTATTTGTGCCTTCTCTACTTTTTCCTTGCCCTAAATGCTAGTCAGTTTTAATAATCTTTTCAAAATACCAGCACTTTTAAATTTGTTGATCTTCTCTATTGTATGATTGTTTTCTATATCAATAATGTTTGCTTCTATCTTTGTTCTTTCTTTCTTTTAAATTCTTTGGGTTTATTGGCTGTTCTTTTTCTAACATCTGGAGATGGATGCTCAGGTAGTGGACTTTTAGACTTCTTTCTCTTTTCTAATATATGTCTTTAGAACTATAAATTTAAGCATATCTGTAGCTGAATCCTGGATTTGGATATGTCATTTTCCACGGGCATCCACTTGAGAATATTTTCTCATTATAATTATGATTTCTTTTTAAAGCCTACGTTATTCAGAAGTATAGTGTATAATTCCCCAATATTTGGGGATTTTCTATTTCTTTGTTAGTTGTCTGATATTTTATGTGAAATGTTATAGAATTTCTTTGAGCCTCTAGATGATGTTATCTTCCCCGTGAGGATTTATTCTTTTCTTCTGACAGGTTGCTAGACTAGAAGCAGAAAATCTTAGTCTAGTTAGAGCCTAATGAGTTTCAGTTATTTGACAGCTGGTTTATTTCTGATTTACTTGTACCCCTAGAGTGTGGTTCTACAGGGTTTTATGGAAAAACCTGAGGTGTCTACAGGACATCTTCTCTTTGGAAAGGCGAAATCTGAAACTGCTTAGCTTTGCAACCCTTCAGCCATCTGTTTTTTACTTGGCACTTGCTTCATGGTGTAAAGGGATACCAGATGCCAGGCTCATCTCTCTTGGCTTCCCTCCTCTCCCAGGTCTCAACCATAGATTCCAATTGTCTTGGTAGCCTTTTGATGTTTTCGGAGAGATGATTTAAAATATTGTACACAGCTTTTCTAGTTCTCTACTGGTTTTTAAACAACTTACTCTGGCATTGCTATGAGCATAACTCTTCTAGGATATTATCCTTTAAGTCAGAAGTCATACATTTCAGTTCTTCTGCTTCCCAGCTGTTTGGACAAATCAACTAAACTTTCTAAGCCTCAGTTTCTTCACTTAAAAATGGAGATAATAATAGTACTTACCTATGTGTTTATTGTAGGGTTAAAAGAGTATACCTAAGTAAAGTGTTAGGAATCATGCTTGGCACAAAATAAGTGCTATATAAGTTTTTGCCATTATTATCCTTATTATCATCCACATGAATCACATAAGTTCTAGGCGTACAGTTATCCATCAATATATATTTTTTAGCTTTAGTTTTATATATAAAAACACTTAAACATATACATAAAAGCCCTTTATAAGTTGTAAAGAACATAGGCTACAGTTCAAAGATCATGTTGGACATTTAAAGGTGATAATATCAAGAAAATATAAAGACTGTGGTCCCTAGGGAGCATTGTCATAGTTAGGTCACCATAATTAGAAATCTTGTTCTTAGCCCTACAATTTTAGAACATTAATCCTCATGCTGATGTTACTAGACTTGGAGATGATGAATCACACTAACTCAACTCAAAAGAGACTGATGCATAAGCCAAAATTCCAGTGTATTAATTTACAATGAGAACTATCCCTGTCACACCTTCTAAAAATGGTTGTATTAGTATTACCAACACATTTTCTGTTTATAGACAGTTTTATTTGGGAAGCCAAATTGTGATTAAAAAGCTATTTGGTGCACGTGGGCTAGCACAGGGAGAGAACTCTCCAGTTAGACAGCAGGAAGCACTCTTTCCCACCCTGAGTCTGGCCTTGCCAGTGCAATGTTAGTCAAGCGCTAATCATAGTGTCAGTTTTTCCCTAATTCTCCTACCTTCTGATTAATCCATTCTTTGGATTGATTATTAAAACAGTTGATGAGGATGTGGTCCTGTTATTTTGTTTTTTCTGCTTCTAGAATCAGTATAATATGTAATGTTTTGCCAGAGTGGTCTTGTAGTCAGACAGATGAGTGCTCAACTGCCATCTCTACCATTTAGTAGGTGTGTGATCTTGGACAGATTTCTTAAATTATTTGGGCCTTGGTTCTTTATCTGCAAAAAGAAACAAGGCTACTTCTTAGGAGTCTTGCGATGATTAAATTGCATCATTAATTTAGGGCTTTGGGCCTCCGGAAATACGGAAAATGCTCAATAAGTGGTAGCTATTACACTTTTGGTCAATGAAGTAGACTATCTCTTTATGTATTTTCTGACCATTATGTATTAATTTTGTAATTTCACTCTTTAGTGCCTTTCTCTAATCTCTTATCCTTTTGCAATTGCAGATGTTTCTCATTTGGTATTGGAGAAGGAGCCTCCACCAGCCTAATAAAAGGCATTGCTCGGGTAGCAGGGGGTACTTCAGAATTTATCACCGGCAAGGAGAGGATACAGTCCAAGGTGAGGGGCAGGCTTTGTATCCTGATGTGGTGGTCCAGAGCGAGTGTGGAGCAGGGGGGGTACTGCTGCAAGGGCAGAGGCAACAGCTTGTCTCCAGGGTTCATTTTCTTATATCCCCAAGGCCTTGGGCTGTATACTTAGTGGGGCTTCTTTTGGTCTTATATAAAAGGGGCCCACTGTAGTTTCTGGAGAAATGGCCTCTGGTCCTAGTAGTTGGAACCCCAGGGACAAGATGCTGGAAGAGGTTAGGGCTTTGTATATAAGACCAGAAACAGAGAAACTAAGAATTTTGACCATCATGATTGAGACTGTAGGTGTGTGCTGGAAGAGGCAGTAAACTGATATTCCAATTGGTTAGTATGCACAAAGGAAGATATCTTCCACCTTTGGTTATATTTCTAAGTTCCTCTTTCATGGTTGGTGCCGTCTCTTATCTCTACTTCTCCAGGGTCTCCTTTCCCAAACATTTCCTTCGTTCGCACTTATGTTGTTAAATCTCTCAGCTTTAGCTTCCTTATATAAAGCAAGAATAATAATACGCATCTCCTAATACAGTATTAAGGAACAGGCACAGCATGTATCGTGTCGCATAGCACCTGGTGCATAATAAATAGTCAGTTAGTAGTAGTTATTGTTGCCATTATTGTTTTTTGTGCTTATTTTGTTCTCTTTCCTCCACCAGGCTCTTAGGGCCCTGAAACGTTCTCTACAGCCTGTGGTCGAGGACGTTTCTCTGAGCTGGGATTTGCCTCAGGGTCTATCTGCTAAAATGCTTTCCCCAGAACAGACTGTCATCTTTAGGGGTCAGAGGTTAATCGTCTATGCCCAGTTGACTGGGATGATACCTGTGAGTTCTCATTCTTGCTTATACCTTTAGTCAGAGTAGCTACTGCCCTGAACTCTGTTCTGGACGATTTCATTAAAGCTGGTGGAGTCTCATCAAGAGATTGCACTTCCAGGTGGAGCGAGCCTGCCCCCTTCTCCATCATTTCAGGTCTCTGATTTCCTGAGCTACATGATTCTTAGTCAGAAATGTTAATGTGTTGGGTTGGGGAGCGGCCCCAGTTCTGACCTTTCTCTTGGTGATCTCTCCCGTCCATTATTTCTACTCTTGTCTTATTTGTAGCCAGCAGAGGCAACAGGAGAAGTTTGCCTCAAGTACACACTCCAGGGCAAGAGTTTTGAGAATAACGTGACATTTTCTCTACAACCCCAGCTCGATGCCAAGTGAGAATTCAGTTTTCCTTTGCTATTTTCTTTCTTTATTTCTTTCTTTTTTTTGTCTCTGCTATCCTTAGGCATTGGTTTCCTTCTTTTAATTTTGAGCTTAATTGTTTCCCTACAATCACTTCTCCTTTATAACCCAGTCAAATCTTATCTATCCCGTATCTGGCTTTTTCCTCCTTCTGCCATCCCTAACTTTTGAGGTCCCTGAGTAACTGGCACATATGTGCTTTTCGCTAAGTCACAGGAACTTTTTTCCTTTAGCTTCACTATTCACCGCCTCGCTGCCAAGTCCTTTCTTCAGACTAAGGACATGGGCTTCAGGGAGACTCCAGCAAATGATAAAAAAGACGTGTTGAAAGTCAGCATTGAGTGTGGAGTCATAAGCTCCCACACAGCTTTTGTTGCCATCAACAAGGATCTCAACAAGCCCGTTCAGGGGCCCCTGGCTCATAGGGACATTCCAAGGCCAATTCTTTGCGGTGCTTTTCCTGTGCTATCAAGACGTCATCAAGGTGGTGAGTTTTACCCCATTCAAACTCATATAAAATAAGGGGTTCTGGGTATGTGAACACAACATTTAAGGGAAAAGTTTGTGAAATGTCCTTAAGTTGCATTTTTTCTTGTCTCTCCACATCTAAGATTTCTGGCTGGTGATAAACTTTTCTGTTTTAGGGAACTAGAATATATCTCATTGACAAAGAGATTTAAAATAATTCAAGGGAAAAAAACAAAGAAAACACACATACAAATGAGTAGTCACACTGTCTAAGTCTGATGGTGATTTATCCTATTGATAATTGGATGGTTAATGATTACACAGATGGCTGATGAACAACCTGGTAGTGTTAGGGAATGGGTGCTGATTGCTGGGATTGTCTCAGGCATAAAACAGGCAGGCTTGATTATAGATATTAGAGGCTTGAGGATTAGGATCAGGTAGAGAAATTCCCTGGGCAAGATTCCACGGCTGGAGGGGAATGGATGATGTTAGTTCTAGAGGCAGGCTTCAAGGTGAGCCTAGATTTCCAGTTGTGCAACTGGGTGGATGATGGTACCGTTTATTTAAATGAGTAACAAAAAAACTCAAGTTTAGGGGGTAAATTGCTGAATTATTTTTAGAGCATTTTGAACATGAGTTGCCTATGAAATATCCACAGGAAGAGGTCCAGTAGAAAGGGAAAAGAAGGGTTTGGTGGTCAGAATAGAGGTCAGTGATGAAGGTATACCTTTGGCAATATTTAGTATTTAGGTGATAACTGAAGTCATGAGAATGAATGAGATTATTCAGAGGACAGGTATAAAGTGAGATGAAAAAGGGGGTAAGAATACCCAGTATCTAAGGGATGAGTAGCAGATGAATCCCCAAACCAGAATAAAAAGGAATAAAATAGGAAGAAAAGAAGTGACTACATACTCAAAACAAAAAGAAACTATGATAAAACAAAGGAAGTTATCAAAGTATCAGAAACAGCAGAGAAGTCAAAGTAAAAACTGAAAAGAGACTATTGGGTTAATACCAAATAAGTCCTGCTAATCTCATCAAGAGCAGTTTCATTGGCTGAGATCAGGAAAGAATCCATATCAGAGAATTTTAAGGAGTAAATGAGAGGTGGGAAATGAGGGGCAGCTTGTATAGACACCTTTTATAACTGTTAACCTGAAAAGGGGAAGGAGTAAAGAGTGATATCTATAGAAGAGGCTGTAGAGTTGAGGTGGTTTTTTGTGTGTTATATCTCTTTAAAATTTCAGAATGGGAGAGATTTGAGGATGTTATGATGCTAACAAGAAAGTGCCCATAGAGAGGTTGAAAATATTGGGGGGAAAAAGGGTTGCTGATTGAGTAGGGTATTTGAGGAAGTGAGAGAGGGTGAGATCTAGAGCAGCAGTGGACGGATTAGCCTATAATAGGACAAGTATTAGGACATTCTCCTGCTATTGCCAGGAAGTAGACGAAACTTGATGGGATTAGATTTTAGATTCATAGGCTGAGAGGCAAGTTTTTGGAGTTTCTGTCTGATAGTTTTTCTATAATTTTAGTGAAAGAGACAGTAAGATTAACTAACGGGTATGAGACTAGAAGTGGTACAATAGAGAATTTGAGGAAAGGGTTTGAAATAGCCACTGTGGACAATTGGAGAGTAAAATGCCCAAGGAGAAACAGCATTTGTCAAGGAGTGTTAGTTTTGATAACTTGACTTTTTTAGTGGCACCAAACTACTAAAGGGAATCATGGTTTGTGTGATTCATTTCAGCAGTACTCAGTAGCTTTGGTATAAGAATGAAGGGAGTAGAGTGTTGGCTCCATATTGAGGTTGGGGTTTTGCCAGTCAGGTGTGATTAAAGGAAATTAGGGACATGGAATTGAAGATGTTGATAAGAGTGTAGTAAAGTGTTGGACCTGAGATTTAGGCTAAATGGAGAAGAGAGTAAAGATGAAAGTTGATATATAGGAAAAAAGCAGAGGAGACTAGGATTTAGAAGTCCTAATGAGGTCAAAAACCAAGTAAAATAGGAATTTCTGAGTTATAAACCTGGAAAAATTGGATATTGTATTTAAAAAGCAGGGTTTTTTTGACAGGTGGAACAATTCCAGTAGATAACGAAGTCCTGGCTTGGGAGGGAATGGCTGAAGTAGGATGGAGGCTGAAGCCATTTGATTTGAAGAAGTTAAGAAGCTTTGAATTAGGGTGTTGGATAGGTTATCTACATGGCTACTGACATCTGTCAAGATGATGGCAGCTTCACAATGAAGTGGAAGTCTATGATCTAGCTTTCAGATACTTCAGTGAATGATGGGAAGTGACAAAGAGGTTGGAGGTTGACAGAAGTGAGGATATGAGGAAGGTAATCCAGTAAGGGTGGAAGATCTGCATATGGCAATTGGGACTGATGAGGTTGCCAGCCCCACCTCCCAAACCTGGGTACTTAGGGTGTGATACCTTGAGCAACCATCATTTGCGAGGGATAGAGAGAGAACAGTTTTTTTGGAAGGAAAAATTAGTTTTAAAGTTAAGATAAATAGTTAGAAGAAGCCTCCTGTAATAAAACTAAAGATGCAGGAAAGATCATTATCATGTATCAAGGGTTCCAGAGGACACAGTACAAAGAGCTCAGAGGGTGAGGGTGTCTGTAGGAGGTGGGCTTATGAGAGAAGAAAAAATGCACAATAAAGATGGTGACAGAGGCTGACATGGATAGGAAGGTATGTGTCTCACATTATCAGGGCCCTTCGCCTACAGCAGAGAGCAGAGGGAGCCTCAGGTCAATGTCTGTACTGGTTTTTCAGCTCATTCAAAGACCTCGTCCTCCTACCGTCCTCCTGCATCTCGGCCCACGAGGAGCACTTCTTATTACTCGAGGATGTCATACCAGCGGAATGGTCATGATCCCTATAAGCCCATGATTAACAAGGGCCTGTACTCTCTAGGTGAGCGTCTTTCCAGGGACTTTTTCTCACCAGTGTTTGTCTGTCACACATATAGGATTACATAAAACCCAAGCTCTTGGTCATAGACTAAAGAGGAAATGCGTGCCTCTCAAAGAGACCTCTCCTGAGATGGAAAGGGCTTGTTCTTCCACCAGCGAGACCAACTTGGAAACTCACCATACAGGTGAGGTGGATCTCAGTTCTCTTCTCTGGTCTATGGGGACTGAAGATCTAATCTTCCATGCTCTGCTATCTTGTGGCTTTCTCTACCCAGGAGGTAATCTGTTTGAAGAGCATCAAGCAGAGGGTGAGATTTGTCCACTCCCTATATTTGCCAGAGCCAGCACAGCTTCATTAGTCTACAATATAGGACCTTGAAACCTACCCCAGTGGAGTCTGGGTTGAGTCCCAGTTAAACAAACTGCTTTTGCCATCTCAGCTCACACTTTGCCTACAGGCTGGGGCCCTCCTCCTATAGAACTCTGCTGCCGCCTTGTTTGGGCCCCTGCTGCATTGGTCGTCTTTTTACAAGTTGGGTTTAAAGATAGACGTTCCTGATGCTATCTGATGACTCTCTCTGTCACCAGGGTGTTCCTTGGTCATTGCCTTGTGTTACAAGCAACTGGGCTTCTCATGTACATGACAGATTGAGTCAAAGTACATTTCACCACTAAGGGATGCCTTTTCTACTAAAACAGGCTTTAAAGCAACTTCTTTCTAGTCGCCAATTATTGTAGCAAGAGTTTGTGGTGTACAATTGTTTAACAGTTTAAACATCTTCTTTGCCACTTATTCTCGACTTATCCATTCTCCCTAGGCTCTAGTTAAAGAGAGGGCTTCGAGGTCTAAGGTGGATTCAGATTGGTGTACTCCCAATCACTGTGGGGTTTTAGGGAAATTAATTCACTTCTTAGAGCCTTAGTTCTCTCAGCTGCACAACTTCTCACCTCATAGTGTTGTCATGAGAACCTCCTTAATGTTATCCACAGAGTAGGTTCTCAGTCTGTGTGGGTTTTCTACGCTGTCCTAATATCCCAGTAACTTAGAATATCCCCACTCTGAGCTTTCTCTCTTATTTCCTCTTACCAAAGTAGAAAGAAAAATTACCCAGCAGTGTTATGCTGCTGGTTTTTGTGAATGAATTAGCAACTACTATTTGTGGTGAGCCACTTAGAGGCCTTCTCAGTACTTTATATTCTTTCTCATGCATTAGGCCTATTGTCTCCAATTTACAGAGAAGGCTGAGATTCCCGTTAGTTAAATAACTATTGCATTCTGAGTCTTACCAGAGCTGAGATTCAAACTAAGGCTGTTGAAATTCAGAGCCTTAGATTTTTTTTTTCCCCATTGGAGTAGAAATGTTTTTCTAGCCTACTAATTTCTAAGTTGCTTTAAGTACATCATCTTGTATGATAGAAAGTCAGTGTGAGATACTTTCTATGAAAATTGTGTGGTCTTTAAGTAATTTTCACACCACCAGGATTAGACAAACACGAGACTATTGTTTGAGGTAGACTGCTAACTGCTGGACAGTTATATCTGCTTTGTTTTGAAATTTTTGATAATTAAAATTCAGGCTGTATTTGTCTAGAATTTTTTAATATACTTGAAGTTTTAAAGACCATTTCAACAAGAATGGATAAGATTTTAAACAGCAGTATCCTGTGGGTTCTTTAGTACCCGTATCTTTTTCTTGTTGCTGAATTTTTATTTTTATTTATTTATTTATTTGGAGGAAAATTAGCTCTGAGCTAATATCTGTTGCCAATCTTCCTCTTTCTTTTTTCTCCCCAAAGCCCCAGCACATAGTTGTATATCCTCGTTGTACGTCCTTCTAGTTCTTCTGTGTGGGATGCCACCTCAGCCTGGCTCGATGAGCAGTGAGTAGGTCCATGCCCGGGATCCAAACCAGCAAACCCCGGGCTGCTGAAGTGGAACACGCGAACTTAACCACTATGTTACTGGGCCGGCCCCTGTTGCTGAATTTTTAAATGCAGCTCCTCTAGAGTCGGTCCCTCACTCAGGTGGCCTACGTTGTCACAGAGAAAATGCATGTCTCCTAGGGGAAGGACTGAAATTGGGATCTTGGTAGGATTTGCTTAGCTCTGTGCTATCACTACAGCCTGTCCCTGAATTCAGACCTGTCTCTCTCAGGTGTGCTAAGGGGCCAATAGCTCCCTAATTCCTCATCCTCTCTCTTTTTTTCTCCCCCAAAGTCTTTGGAAATAATCACCTTGTGCAGCTGATTTCCCTCCAAAATGCAGATGGTTCCTGGGATCTGAATGAAAGTCTGGCCATGGCCCTCGGTATGAATTTGGAAGACATACTGGCTGCACTCCCTGTCAAGGTGAGATTCAGAGAAGAAAAAAGCAGTACATATGTTTTTGAGGGATTGGAGTCATTAATGAGAATTGGGGTGAATCATGACTCACCAGAGGAAGGAAAATATAGGAGGCCATAGACTAAATTAATTTCTTATAAATAGAGGCTGAAGATTTTTCTGGATGTGTTAGAGCAGAAAGAACAAGAAACTAATGGTATAGCTAGTAGGGTTAGTTATAGTTATATTAGTTATAATAACTAATGTTTATTGAACAATTACTCTGTGCCAGGCACTGTGCTAAGCACTTAACATTCATGATCTTATTTATTCATCACAACAATTAGTTAAGGTAAATCCTATTCACGTTGCTGTTTATAGATGAAGAAACTGAAGCCCAGAGAAGTGTAATGATGTGTCTGAGTTTACCCAGCCAGTCAGTGGCAGAGCTGAATTCAATTCTAGGATTATCTGTCTTCAGAACCCACATCTTTGTATAAAAGGAAGTACTCCAGAAATTAGCAAAATGTCATTGAAGTCAGAATAGGTGAAGTATTAATAGGCATGACTTAATTATTTCAAATGTGTTCCAGTATGCTAACGAGGACAAATTACGTTCCAGAATTTCAAGGTAAATACTAAATCTTCTAATTGAGAAATTGTTAAATATCAGACAAATGCCAAAATCCTGAAAGACAAGTGTCATTCTGAATTTTCAAAATATGGGAGGTGATTAAATAAACTTCCGATATCCTATAACTGCACCATCCAGTACGGTATCCACTAGTCATATGTGGCTCTTGAGCTCTTAAAATGTGGCTAATGCCAATGAGGAACTAAATTTTTAATTGAATTGAGGTGTGCTATAATTGTGAAATACGTACTGATTTCAAAGACAATATAAAAAAAGAATGTAAAATATTTCGACAATTATTTTTACATGATTATGTTAAAATGATATTTTGAATATATTAGGTCAAAGAAAATGTATTAGTAAAATAATAGTACCTCTTTGTTTTTACATTTTTACCTGTGGCTACTAGGGCATTTAAAATTATATGTGTCTAGCATTATATTTCTATTGAAAAATACTGTTGTAGAACAAATAATAAATAATTAAAATTATAAACAATCAGAAGAAAATACAAGGATCGTGAAGTTCTAACTTAGTTTCATTGAGAACAAGACGTGTCACACTAACATTTCCTTCTTTGACATGGTAACTGGGCCAGTAAATCAAGGGAATCAAGAGCCCTGGTGTATCTGAATTTCAGTAAGGAATTTGAATTTTTTTTTTAATGATGAGTATGTGGATTGAGTGCAAACTAGTTGAAAACCCACAGCACTGAATAATGAATTTATTCAAACTTGAAACAGCATTTCAGACCCACCAGGCTCCGAATTCTCTAGGGGTACGTATTTTAAATGAAGATTTATGTGAAAATGTAGACCAGTGCTTTCCTACTTGTATATGACAAAACTGGGAAATAGAGTATTAGACAAGAAAATCAGGATCCCAAAAGACCTTGAACAGTGACTTGCAATTTTCCATGGGGGAAAAAAAAAACTTAGTAGAAATAAAAATACTGTTTTTGATTCTAAATTCTCAACTATACAAATAGAGAATAGAAGCAAAATGACTTAAGAGCTGTTGCCCATAACAATCAGAGATTTTAGATGACCATAAACAATATGAATCTGCATATTTGTAACATGATCAGTGGAAAGAACAGAATTGTCAGAAAAGCTATATGTCTCATGTGTTTTTGGGCTGTGGTCATAGAATTTCCAGATGTGACCATTTAAGGAGATATATGTTAAAAATCACTGTGATGTTTGTTTCTAGACTAGGAGAACAAGCGTGGGGATTCTTCCTGCTTTGACATAAGCACTCCTCTTAAGGAAGAATTAAAGGAACTGGGAATTTTGATCTGAAACAAGACTTCTCAGAGGGGACATGATAGCTGTTTCCAAATTTTAAAAGTCGTGATATAAATGAGGAACTTTTCTTGATCTGTTCACTCTAGAAACTAAAGTTGGGAGCTGTGGGCGAGAAGTCACGGAAGAACATTTTCCATTCTATAGCTGAGACTTTCTATTGAGCAATATGACTCAAATCAGAATATTTGGCCTCCAGTCCTAGCTCTGTCATTTGCTAGAGCCTAACTTTGGGCAAATCATTTCACTTTTGTACGAATCAGTTTTCTCTTTTAAAAATGTGATCATTGGGGTCAGCCTGGTGGGGTAGTGGTTAAGTTTGCATGCTCCACTTTGGCACCCCAGGGTTCGTGGGCTCGGATCCTGGGTGTGCACCCATACACCGCTCATCAAGCCATGCTGTGGCAGCCTCCCCCATTCAAAAAATAGGGGAAGATTGGCACAGATGTTAGTTCAGCGACAATCTTCCTTAGCAAAAAGAGGAAGATTGGCAACAGATGTTAGCTCAGGGCCCATCTTCCTCACCAAAAAATAAAAAAAGTGATTATTGATAATTCTTCATTTTTTGTTTTTTTTGGTGAGGACTGAAATAAAAAAACATGAAGGTACTTTATAAAATATATAAGCAACTATGCATGTGTTTCTCTTATCACAGTTGGGTAATCCTTGTTGGAGATGTTTTAGGAGTTTCAAGCACTGTCCTCGTGGTTATGCTGGATTTAAAACTTAAGACCTTTCTACCCTAAGACTCAGTGGGTTGTTGCCCTGAGGTTCAGACACTGGCATTATGCCTTGCAAATCGTAGAGCAGTAAAGAGAGACCAGGTAATCCCATTTAGCAGCAGTTTGGGGGATGCTAAGTGAGGAGGGAGTGGAGCTTTTTGCATCTCCTTGAGGGGCGTCCTGCTCTAACTTGGAGGTTTCAGAGAAGTCTCTGTCTGTTGTTCAGAATGTGGATTCCTCAAGCTGGGCCACAGTCCTGGCAGTGCTCTGGCTGCATACCAATGGTAAGGACTCAATGTGTGAATGGGAGCTTCTGGAAAGGAAAGCGGTGGCCTGGATTCGCTTCCATGCAGGTAGGAGCATAATCCTAAGACTCATCTCTTTCCCTCCTTAGGAAGCTAGTCATCTTTTCAGGCACTGAGCCTCTAGGCCTGACAGAGGGTGACCAAGAGAGAATCCCCATAGTCTCCTCCCCTGACCATCCTGGTTCAGACCTTTGCTCGTCTCTCAGATAGTTCTTTCCTTAGCAGGATAAGTGTGAAATCTTAAATTGGGGGAGGGGAGAGGTGAGTAAAGCGGGAAAAGGATGTGGATGAGGAGTGTGAATTGTGAGAAGGACATACATAAAGTGGCATTTATTTTACTCACTATCTCGATCCTGTACTGAGTATATAAGACTGGACTTAGATGTTTATAATCTCACTGCTACTGTGTATGTCTGGGGCCAGAGAAGACTAAAAGGAATCTGGGTAGTAGGAAGAGAAAAGTCAGGGGCATTGAGGAAAGGTAAAAGCAGGATTCAGGGGAGATGATCAGGAAGTTTAGGGGAGACTAGGAGAAGAGCATTTGCTCTCATGGCTGTCCCTCAGCCCTAACTCTTGTTTTCTCCTCATAACAGGCTCCATCATGCATGTGCTTGTGAAAGCTGCTGTTGCTTTCCTGAAATCAACTGTGGATCCTGCCATCTTTGCCTTTTGAGGATATCGTCCAGGAAAACAAGTGCCTCTCCTATGCCACTGTCCCTTTCTTTACTCTTTCTTCTGCTGTGATGTGTTTTGTGTTTTACACCTATCCTGTCAGTTTCTTGTCATAAAGGTAAAGGATGCCCACCCCACCTTGCCTGTCCATTCCAGGTTCCCTTTGGATATGAACTTCCTTTCCCAACATGTACCCTCAGCCAAGTGTCAGTGGTCCCAGAATCTCCTCCCTTTCTTGGAGGAATTCAAAGAATTCATAGGCAGTAACGTTCCTCCCAGGTTTTCTAGAGTGACAACATGAAAAACAGGTAACATGGACTGCAGACTAAAGGTTGCAGTATTGATGTTAGGAAATGCCTGAATTAGAGAATTCTCTGCATCATATTTGGCTATTCACTTTTGGTCTTATATAATTATCAGGACCAGACTGGTGAGCTATACAGTTTTCTATTCTTAGATAGGGTGAAGAGCTGGAGGGGAGGTTGAAAGCCAACATCAGGATCAATATAACTTCAAGATCACAAAGAAAGAGACTCAAGGGGTCTGCTGTGAGAGTTGGCACTGTCGGCGACCTTCTTGATGGATTCCGCTTGGGTTTTGCTAGCCTATATTACATGCCTTTCTTCCTACTGCCTAAGGGGCTTGGGTTGAGTTGTAGTTGTTGGAGACAGATGTTTCTCCTTAATCATTAAGCATCTTAGTAAGAGGGTGATAGTGGAATCCTTAGTCCTTGCGTGAAACCATGGGGCTTCTAAGTGAAGCTCTGATCTAGTATAATAAAGGGGAAAGCAGGTCTAAAGGCAGTTTTACCTGAGACCCGAACCTGTATCACTCACCTCGTGAGGAGGAAAGGTGCTCCCTCTAATTGCTTCTGACCCTTGTGTCCCACATACTCTGTCCTAGTGGAAATGACCCCATTTTATGTTGTTGTCCTCTAAAATGCTGTTGTATCAATATTAAAATGACTATATCTACACTGTACTTTGTTGTATCTGATCTTTTATAGATATATTCATTGAACCTGCATTAGTTTTATTATCCCTTGTTTTTCCTCCCAACTTTTCTGATGCCTCCACTATTCACACTGTGTCCTGTCCCCATATCCTCTGTTGTAGGCTGATTTCCTTTCATATATGAGGCAAGTAAAGGACACTGACCAGAAAACTACTATTAGAATCCTGACCGTACACTTAAATAGTTATGTGATGATGACAAATGATTTAACCCCTCAGGAGCCTGGTATCCCCATCTGTAAAACTAAGGGATTAAACTAGAACTCTATTATCACTTTCATCTTGAATACTCAAGAATTCTGAACAGGACCTCAGTATCTGTTCACTGAGGTAGGGGATGTCCTAGACCTGAGTTCTGTTAAGCTGTTGAGTTAACTGGCATTAGGACAATTTGCCTGACTTGCATAGTGGATGCTGATCTCCCAGAACTTTCTTCCAAGTTTGCTTACGGCGGAATGTGACCTGTGGAATAGGGCTGTTGCATCACTCGGAAGCTTGTTAGAAATGCAGAATTTCAGGCAACCCCAAGATCTACTGTATCAAAGTCTACATTTTAACGAGATCTCCAGGTAATTCATATGCACATTAATCTTTGAGAAGTGAGGGCTTAGACTTTTCGTGAAATAGGCTTGTATTCAAGTCTGCCATCCAGATAGGCCCTATCGATGTAATGACAGAAGAAACAGCTTCCTAAAGACCATGAAACTTGTAGAACTACTCTCTGCCCACAAAAAGATGGCCTTTTACATTTATTATGCAGAGCATATTATTATATTTATTGTTCACCTCCCCTTTTCTCATCCTTCAGCTTCCAGACTAAGCTAAGGCTTGGGGACTTCTAAAGCTAAAAACAAAACAAACAACGACGACAACAAAAAATCGTCTTTTTTGTCTTCTCCTTTAAAGTGCAGAATCAACTACAGTTTTAAAGCAGCATGGTTTTATTTTTCCATTGAACTCTCATGCTATAAAATGTACCAACTGTAAATTTCTCAAATCTAAACACATCAGTCTACATAATCAACAAGTATATGTTTTGGCATATTTATTGAAGCCCACTTTCAGGGCTGGTGATTCATGTTTGAAGAAAATATAAAGCACCATCTGTGCTTTTAGGAACTGATGATCTGGGCAAGGATCCCAGGAGAGAAGCTGCTCTCGTCTCCAGTTGGTTGTCCCCACCTGCAGTTGTTTCCTGGCTGCTGCAGACTTGGCCACAAGAAAGATGGCAGATGGCATTGCCTCAAGATTCTCCCCCTCAAACTGAGCCCAATGCCTCCAGTGCAGGACACCATGTTCTACGTAGACTTCTTAATGAAACCCATTGCCTATTTTCCCCAGTTCCAACACAGTCATTTAGCATTTGCTGTTCTCTCAACTCCCAGCCATTGCTTTCTCAAAAACAGTCCATCTGCTTGACGTATCTGATTGACCAGAAGGAAACCAAAAAAAATCCCATGCGATGAGCTAACTCCATGTATTCTGTTTTTCCTTTCAGTTCTATCAGTTTTTGCCTCACATATTTTGATGTTCTCTGGTTAGGTGCATACACATTTAGGAATATTATATCTTCTTAGAGAACTGACCCTTTTATCATTATGTAACACTCACTTTTATCACTGATGATTTTCCTTGTTCTGAAATTTGATTTGTTTGAGATTAATATAGCCACTTCAGCTTTCTTTTGATTAGTGTTAGCATGGCATATATTTCTCCATCCATTTACTTTTAACCTATTTGAGTGTTTATATTTAAAATGGATGTCTTGTAGACAACATATACTTCAGTCTTTTTTTTTTTGATGAGGAAGATTAACCCTGAGCTAACATCTGTTGCCAATCCTCCTCTTTTTGCTGAGCATGATTGGCGCTGGGTTAACATCCATGCCTGTCTTCCTCTACTTTATATGTGGGACACCTGCCACAGCATGGCTTGATGAGCAGTGCATAGGTCTGCACCCAGGATCCCAACTCATGAACCCTGCCTCGGCTGCTGAAGTGGAGCATGTGAACTTAACCACTACACCCCTGGGCCAGCCCCAGGTCTTAATTGTTATCTACTCTGACAATCTCTATCTTTTAATTGGTGTATTTATATCATTCAAATTTAAAATAATTATTGTTATAATTGGATTAATATCCACCATATATTTTTTTAATTTTTTCCCTCTTATTTTACCTTCACTAGTTTTAATTATGCATTTTATGTGATTTCATTTTATTTCCATTCTTAATATATCAATTATATATTTCTAAAATTTTTTTTAGTTGTTGCCCTAGAATTTGCAATGTATATTTAAAATGATCTTAAGTTCACCTTCAAATAACACTATACCACTTTATGTGTAGTGCAGGTATCTTACAACAGAGTTTTCCTAATTCCTCCCTCCCATCCATTGTGGAATTGCTGTTACTCATTTCTCTTATCCATATATTATAATTATCCACTGCTTTATTATTATTTCTTTAGTTATCTTTTAAATCAATTAAGAAAAAAAATTTACTTCACTTTTATTTATTCCTTCTCCTGCTCTTTCTTTATGTAGATGTGAATTTCTGACCTATATCATTTTCCTTCTTCCTGAAGAATACCTTTTAATATTTCTTGCAGAACAGGTCTGCTGGAAATGATTTCCTTCAGTTTTTGTTTGGGAAAGTCTTTATTTCTCTTTCACTTTTGAGGGATAATTTTACTTAATATAGAATTTTATATCCTATACTTCAAATATTTCAACACTTTAAATATTTCCGTTTACTCTTTTCTTGCTTGTATAGTTTTTGGCAAGAAATCTGCTGTAATTCTTCTTTTTTCTTTCTGGGTAAAGTGTTTTCCCCCACTCTGGCTTCTTCCAAAATTTTTTCTTTGTCTTTGGTTTTCTGCAATTTGAATATGATACTTATAAGTGAAGATATTTTTGTATTTATCCTGCTTGGTGTTATCTGAGCTTCTTGGATCTGTGGTTTTGTGTTCGTGATTAATGTTGGAAAATTTTTGGCCATTATTACTTTAAATATTTCTCTGCTTTGTTCTCTCTTCTCTTTCTGATATTTCAAATACATATATGTTATACCTTTTGAAATTGTCTCAGAGGCCGGTTTTTGGATATTCTACTCTGTTTTTGTTGTCGTTTTCTCTTTGCATTTTAGTTTGGGAACTTTCTATTGGCCTATCTTCCAGCTCAAAGACTTTTTACTCAGTCATGCCAAGTCTAACGATGAGCCCATTAAAGGCATCCTTCATTTCTGTTACAATGTTTTCAATTTCTAGTGTTTCATATTGATTCCTTTTAGAGTTTCCTTCTCTCTATTTACATTGCCCATCTTTTCTTGTACATGGTCTACTTTTTCCATTAGAGCCATTAACATGAGTCATAGTTATTTAATTAATTAATTTATTTATTTATTTATTTATTTTTGGTGAGGAAGATCAGCCCTGTCCTAAGATCTGCCAATCCTCCTCTTTTTTTTTTTGCTGAGGAAGACTGGCCCTGGGCTAACATCCATGCCCATCTTCCTCCACTTTATATGGAATGCTGCCACAGCATGGCTTGCCAAGTGGTGCGTCGGCACGTGCCCAGGATCCAAACCGGTGAACACTAAGCTGCCGCAGCGGAGCCTGCACACTTAACCGCTTGCGACACTGGGCCGGCCCCGAGTCATAGTTATTTTAAATTCCCTGTCTGATAGAGCCAACATTTTAGTCATAACTAACTCTGGATCTGATGCTTGCTTTGTCTCTTTAGACTATGTTTTCTCTTATCTTTTAGCATGCCTGGGAATGTTTTGCTGAAAGCCAGACATAATGTATTGGGTAAGAATTGAGTTAAAGAGACTTTAGTGTGAGGTTTTATGTTAATCTGGTTACGAGTTTGGACATGTTTAATGTTTTCTGTGGCTGTAGCTGCCAGTGGCTTCAGATTCCTCTAATGTCCTTGTTTTCACCTCTCCTATTGCCTTTAGGCAACCTTAAGTATTTCTCAGAGAGAATCTGT